ATGGATGTAATGGATGTAATGGATGTAATGGATGTAATGGATGTAATGGATGTAATGGATGTAATGGATGTATGTATGTACGTATGTACGTATGTATGTATGTACGTATGTATGTATGTATGTATGTAATGTATGTAATGTATGTAATGTATGTAATGTATGTAATGTATGTAATGTATGTAATGTATGTAATGTATGTAATGTATGTAATGTATGTATGTATGTATGTATGAATGTATGTAATGTATGTAATGTATGTAATGTATGTAATGTATGTAATGTATGTAATGTATGTAATGTATGTAATGTATGTAATGTATGAATGTAATGTAATGTAATGTAGTGTAATGTAGTGTAATGTAATGTAATGTAATGTAATGTATGTAATGTATGTAATGTATGTAATGTATGTAATGTATGTAATGTATGTAATGTATGTAATGTATGTAATGTATGTAATGTATGTAATGTATGTAATGTAATGTAAAGTATGTATGTATGTATGTAATGTAATGTAATGTAATGTAATGTATGGTATGTATGTAATGTATGTAATGTATGTAATGTAATGTAATGTAATGTAATGTAATGCATGTAATGTATGTAATGTATGTAATGTATGTAATGTATGTAATGTATGTAATGTAATGTTATGTTATGTAATGTAATGTTATGTAATGTAATGTAATGTATGTATATATGTATTAATGTAATGTAATGTAATCTAATGTAATGTAATGTATGTAATGTAATGTAATGTAATGTAACGTAATGTATGTATGTATGGTAATGTATGGTATGTATGTAATGTTTTGGTATGTATGTAATGTCGGTATGTATGTAAGTAGGTATGTATGTAAGTATGGTTTGTATGTACTGTTAGGTATGTATTTTGTGGGTAATGTATGGTATTGGTTAGTAATTGTAATGTAAATGTTGCTAATGTAATGTAATGTATGTAATGTATGTAATGTATGTAATGTATGTAATGTATGTAATGTATGTAATGTATGTAATGTATGTAATGTATGTAATGTATGTAATGTATGTAATGTATGTAATGTATGTAATGTATGTAATGTATGTAATGTAATGTAAAGTATGTATGTATGTATGTAATGTAATGTAATGTAATGTAATGTATGGTATGTATGTAATGTATGTAATGTATGTAATGTAATGTAATGTAATGTAATGTAATGCATGTAATGTATGTAATGTATGTAATGTATGTAATGTATGTAATGTATGTAATGTAATGTTATGTTATGTAATGTAATGTTATGTAATGTAATGTAATGTATGTATATATGTATTAATGTAATGTAATGTAATCTAATGTAATGTAATGTATGTAATGTAATGTAATGTAATGTAACGTAATGTATGTATGTATATATATATATTTATATGGGATATAAGAACTTATACGGGATATCAATGGCATATTTCTTTGCGATATGACTATAAGATACTGTAAGTCCATTGGTATCCAACTTAATTCTTGGAAGATGATATAATGGGATATATAACCCCAAGTACTTACTGGGATATTTTTCTGGGATATGAATGGGGATGTGATCAACCAACAATGAAATTTGGGGATGGGTCAAGTTACCTATGAACTTGCTGGGAGAATAACCATCCAACACCAGCCACAACTTGCTGGTAGCGACCTAAAAACCCAGGTGGACGACCAACTCCCAGAGATGGGTTGGGGCTTTCACTGTGACTTCAACAACGACCTGTGGTCCTGTGCACTTCCTCCAGAAGCAGAGTCGCTACTGGACAGGAGCTTTAGCCTAGAGGATATGATTCGTGCCTCAGTTCGAAATTAAAATCGCCACGAAACCATACCTTACCTGGGCGATTTTTTCTCACTTTACCTGGTTACCAAATCGGGACTGCTTGGTTTTCCTATTCTCATCCCATGATGGAATCTGTCCAGGTTCCAAGTTGCCTGCGCCAAGGTTCAAAGGATACGGCACTTTGCGCCAAGAAGCTGCCGCCGTTGAATGGGAGCATGGTTCTGTCCGTGTCAGTGGCGCGAATCTTTGGCGAAATTTGAAATCGGGGTTTTCCAAATTTCTCAACAGCTGTTGATGATAGGGGATTGTACAGACTTATACCCTTTTTTTCTACAGGGGATGATGAACTATCACCATCCATCGCCCTGTTTTCCACTCCAAAGATGTCCAGTTTAGGAACAGGCTCTGAGACACTCAGCAGAATGCTGGAATCTACTGGCCTCAATTTGCACGACCATCAATGCAATGCTCACACGTGTCTCTGCGTTGAACTCATTGTTGAAAAAAATTAGTTGCGACAAAAACTGTGATCCCAAACCCAAGTAGGAACAATGACGTACAATTAATCTTTTAATGATGCTGTCTCGAATTAATGATGTCTCTGCATAGAATCTCATTTTGTGTGGCATGTCCAAACGATCGCTGTGAGGGCGACACTTCCCATAAAGTGGGGCTATGGATCAACCCATTTCCGGCTTTGAGATCGATTTTCTGGGGCTTGGAACGGTTGAACTCTGGACGATCTAATTGAGCTAATGCCAACACCTGAACAGAACTTAGGTGTCAACATGACAGGTGCAAAGATGAGTGGCCGTGCAAAGATGAGTGGCCTTGTTTGTTGGAGACTGGATGATTATGCAATGGATAAACATCAAGAACCAGTGAAGAGATGTGAACAGAATGAACCCCAACAAACATGGCAAAATCAATTCCCTCGGGATCTCCCTGCCCTAAGGTTGCTGGAACATGGAGCTGGGCATGTGATTGTGAGCCTCAGACATCCAGTTTCTCGAATCGTGTCTGGAATGCAGTGGCACACCCATGTGTACAACATGACATTGGCGATCGGGGCATTTTTGAACAGCTCCAGCTCCAAGCTGTCGATTGCTGGAGCTACTGGAGCTCACAACGAGCAGAGTGAGCGGAGTGACAGGGGTCAATTCTCCCACGGCGCCTACGATCTTCAGCACAAGGCGACGCCAAAATGTGCGGTTTCTGGTCCCCATAAAGGTGCCAACTGAAATACCGGGCAGATGTGTCTAGACAACTCTGCTCTGGTCAAGTGTCCATGTTCAAAAAACATATCCAAAACAGTTTTAAAACAATTTTAAACATACCAAACTATGTGAGGTGTTTTCCTTTGATGATTTTAACCACAGCTATGTGGATGCGCTGCGGAACACTTCAGATCCGAACCACCGGATAGCCCTGGACGTGCAGTACCGGCCTTACAGCAACAGCAGCTCGGCTCCAGTTGCATCGTTTACTTGCGCGGAGCCAGTTGTTTTTTTCTGGTAAGGGTCGTTGTTTTTGTTTGAGAGCACGAACAGATCAGAAACCTATGGTCTTTACATGTTTTTACTAGTATTTGTAGGGGCTTCCTGAAATTCTTCCTGTCAACCACCGCTAGAGGAGTTCAAACATGTAAGCATTCGTAAGTGGGATGTCTTTGTGGCTGACCACCAAAATGATTCCGTCGCCAAGGCGTTTTCATGCCCGTGGTCGACTTCTACATCAAGGGACTCACCAACGAAGAGCGGGGCCGTGTGAGCTTCGTATGCACCTGCACGCTGAAAGAAGACATGGACAGGGTCTCCAAGGAACTGAATCTCAATCTGGACACAGACACTTGGATCTCTTGGATCTCTTGGATCTCTTAGGCTCTTAGGGATCACAACTAGCAGACTTAGCACTTGCCCCTGCTACCCCTATTTTTTGGTCGAAGTCTTCAATTCAAGTCTTCCAGTAGCGGGCATGGGGTCGCTAAGGTCGTAAGATGTTGCAAGGATGGGGCATTTCGGGGGGGTCGTTCTGTGCGCTGTTCGGCTCTGACTCCAATATTTGCACCTCTTCTCTTCCCACCGTCCAGAGCGTACTTCAACCGAAAGGAAACTCAGAACTTTGGTAAATTTGGCTGCAATCCGCCTGTTGAAAACCCTAAAGCACACACAGCAGTAATGCAGACAGGAGGCATTTTTGCCACTGCACAGAGAAATTCAGGTGCATTTTCGAAGCAACACAGCACCAACGGTGCAGCACCAACGGGGCAGCATCAACAATGTGGCATCGGAATGTACGTTAGAGTGTCCTTAGTGGTCCTCCATTTTAGGTAAACTATTGCAAAACAATACACAATACAAAGGGTCGGCCTGAGTGAAAGATCAGGTAACCCCCAAATTCATTGGTTAATCCTCGTATTTTCTCAACATTTTCCCATATTTTCTCATGATATTGCCGCATTCATGGGCTTTTCCAAGAGGGATCTTGGATGATCTTGGTATCAAACGCCACGAGGAGATTTTGTCCCATGAATCTGTCTCGAGTAGCGATGATCCTGAAGTCCAGCTCCAATGGCTGTCGCAGAGAAACATCGATTGGATTCGGGAGAGACTTGGCAAAAGTTGGCAGATGCCGAAGTCAACCTTTTGGACCACTCAGCAAGTTCCAGGAAACTTTGTTTGAGATGCAGTCTGCAAGAATCAGACATTTCATACCCGAAATCATGGGGCAATGTCATACATGTATATACGTGTCATGTCCAGCCAAGTCTTTTGAGTAGTGCAGCGTTCAGGATCTATGCCGCCGACGAGGCATTTTACCTTCAACATTGCAGCCACTGTGAGCCCAACGCCAAGCCGCATGATTAGCTGAGCAGGGAAAAGCGGCAACAGGGCAACAGGGCAGGGGGTCTCAACTGGTCTCAGCTGGTCTCAACATTGTTTTTGTCGAGGAATTCATCGACGACACATTTTCAACATGTTCAGACTCCATATGATTCTATGTTCTGTCACAATATCGTCATACTTCAATGCCCATAAGGAAGCACTTTGATTTTCTCTTTTTGCATCTAATCATCTATAATCATCTTAGGAATCCTCGCGATGTTCACTTCATGCCTATGCATTCTCCCTGGGATTGTCATTGGAGAACACCAAGTTTTGGGACAGTCATCCCCTCATGTTGTTATCAAAGGTTCCATTCCCTGGATCGGCCACTGAAAAACGTTGCGCCTGCCAGAAGCAACGCGGGAAAATTGCAGCGTTTTTTTTTTTCGAAGCTTCGCCGGCTCTGAAACGCAGTGGAAAATGCAGGGCAAGCAGGTTCTTCTTTGGAACGGGGGATTTTCCAATTTTCCCATGGATTTTTTGCAATTTCCCATGGATTTGGAGCTAATCCATTCCAATCCCAGGGGTCGCAGGGGTCGCAGGAGCTTCGGACACAGTTGATCGCCCACAATGGAAGTGTGCAGAAGTTGGATTTGCCAGAAGACATGAAGGCACCGTTGTGTCTTCACCGTTGTGTCTGGTCGAAGGGCCGAAGGGTTGCTCCAACATATGATGATGGCCACAAGGGGGTAAATTGGCCCTGAAGAATGACAAGAAAGCATTGGGTTTGGAGATATGAAGCAGAAACAGTTGGTGGTTTAAGTCCGTTCTTTTCAAGTGTGCTATTACATAATCTGTATATATATATATTTATACACATAAATATGTATTTAAATGTATCTTCTAATGGGTATTTTCCGGCCAGCCACGTTAGATGAACCGTAGAGTAGTTGATATATTATATGGATGAGCCTTCGCAACTGCCAGACTACTTGTGCAGTAGAGGACCGTAGAGAAAGGGTGGGTTGTAGGGTACACTTCACAGAAATGTACAACCATGGAGTCAGACTTGAAACTCCAATCTCTTGTATGGGGATGTATCTAAAGATACATCCCAGGAAGCTCTCACAACCTGAAAGTGAACTTCAGGTCTTGAGTTCAGATTTGGCCCATGCAACCCCTTGCATTTCTTCTTGCCCGTGTCTGTTTAAGTTTGAAAGACCTATATATATAGTCGGCCCCAAACACCACGAGTCTAAGAGGATTAATATTTCAACCTCACTATCCAACCAAGCCGCGTAAAATGCTAGCTTTGCTCTGCATGGGGGCATCATGCCCCAAAGTGGAAATCATGTCAAATTTGTGAAATATGGTGGTTTATCAGTATGTATTTGGAGGATCGAGACTGCTTGTGAGACTACCGCTGATGATATCAAAGAATTGGCTGACAGCAATCAATAACAGTCATGATACCGAGGATTACAACATCAAGAAAACGCTAGCAATTGTCAGAAGAGCGACATTAATAGTGCAACAACAGCGACACTCATTATATGATGATGATGATGATGATGAAGATGATGACGATGACGATGACGATGACGATGATGATGATGATGATGAGGAGGAGGATGATGATGATGATGATGACGACGATGATGATGATGATGATGAAGACGACGACGACGACGATGATGCTGATGCTGATGCTGATGCTGAGGGTGAGGGTGAGGGTGAGGGTGAGGATGAGGATGAGGATGATGAGGAGGAGGAGAACGACGACGGCGATGATGATGATGCATAGTAGCAATATGGGTTGTTTGCAAGAGAACTCGTACCCCAGATCCAACATTCACTATCCGTTCATCATTTTTCAAATGTCTATTTTGAATGTTACCACCCTTTTTTGGCTGGTCAAATTCCCTTATAATACCAAAGCAGATAGAGCTATCATTTACCATAATTTCACCATGGGATTTTACAAACTTCTATCAACCTTTGGGGCTTGCTATATTGTCTCATAGGTATCAACGGTATCATGCACCATATAGTCACCCCAAAAAGAAATCGAGCAGTTGAAAATCCATAAAAAATTTTTGGTGAACACATCATATTACCATACACAGTTTAAATCTTTAGTTTCTCACATCCTGGAAGCATGTTTCAAAATATGATGGATGTTTACCACTTCCAGCTCCTCTACGGCTCCCAACTTGGGTTCAAATCCCATGGTATAGCCGTTCAGTTCTATACCCCCAAGTTGCATCAATTCCTTTTGGTTTCCGGACTTATATGGGTATGGGTCAATACCTATAGATACATTTTTAGTGGGATGAACATCCATTTACCAGCTATTTTGGGGTTCACTAGGTACCAGGGTTTTGACCCATCCCCATATCCCCAATTTTTTTTTTCTCATGAACCAATTTCAGAACTGTCAGAAATCCGCAATCTTTTCCCATGGGAATTCTTTCCCATGGGCGTAGGAACTCTATAAGACGGTCTGGGAGATCAAGCAGAAGATCGTCCTGGACATGGCAGCAGATCGGGGGCCCTACATCGATCAGTCCCAGTCCTTGAAGCTCGGGCGATGGAGCTTTCGCCACGTGTTTCACCAGATTTATGGAGGATTTATGGAAGATTTATGGAGGATTTACCATCTGGTTATGACTAACTAACAGTTTGCCATGGTATAGATGGCCCACAGAAATAGATGTTTTTTGATGATTTACCTGTGTCAAAATGGTGATTTTCCATGGCTACGTTAAATCACCAGACTTAACTTATGGAGATTGATGAGAAAAGATTAATTTTGAACAGCATCTTTTTGGGGGCTTTAGCCATCAATATCCCATCAATATCAGAAAAGATGACATCAATTGAAATAATGTTGTTTGTTTGTTTTTGCATCATCTACAAAGGGGGCTAAAGGCCATGAAATATATGGGGATGGAATGGGATAATGGGGTACAACCGGCATATAGACTGTATATATATATATATATTATGATTTGCCAAAGTAGGTGTAATGCACTTTTTGTTCTGTATGGAATGTAGGGTACATACAGTGTCTGGGTACGGTTAAATGATGGTACGGGACGGTGGTACGATGGAAGTGGTACGGTTAAATGATGGTACGGTACGGCGGTACGATGGAAGTAGTACGGTTAAATGATGGTACGGTACGGTGGTGCGATGGAAGTGGCACTGTCAAATGATGGTAAGGTGGTGCAGTGGTGGTGGTTCAGTGTTATCTGGTACAGTACGGTGGCATGGTGCGATTGAATGTTGGTATGGTAAATTGGTGCGACACAGTGGTGCAGTGAGTCGTTTGTGTTGCGGGATGAGATGCTGGTGCAGTACGGTGTTTTTGCGATGTGTTGGTAAGGCACGCGGGTGAGATAAGATGCTGGTACGCTATGGTGATGTAGCATGATGTGGCATGTTGGTGCGACGCGATGTTGGTAGGGAATTCTGCGGTGCACTGTAATGGCGTGGTGAGATGTTGATACGATACCTTGTGGAAGATAAACATCCCAAAGCAAAAACCGGTCAAAACTGGTGCCCAAAACAATGTAAAGGAGAGAGTGAGCTGGGGTAAAGTAATATTGATGTCTTATGGTGTCTTAAATAAGGGGTTGCCATTGAGGGGGATTTAAGATTTATAATGGTTTGTCTTTAAGTCTATGTCAATGTAGGTTCTAAAGATCGGAAATTGTTTTGCGCACATTGGATTGCGGGCACACAGTAAAACGCATAGTCTTTTTGAAAGAGCATGTCTCAGAATAAGAGGGCGTCACACTTGCCCGCATATTGGTGTGCAACTCCAACAAACAGTTCAGTGTCCTGTATTCTCTTAAGAAAGTGCAGTATTTGACCTTTGAGAGAAGTAAGATTATTGTATAATTCTTGGTTTTGATAAGGGAGTTCAACTGATCATTCCTTTTTGACTATACAAATTTACATGTTATATAGATATGCCCAAATAAGATAGGCATACTCAGTACTCAGTACTCCAGAAACAGCGCTCAGTGATCATTTCTCTCAAAGAAGAAGTCTTCCTTCAAGAAAATAACTGTTCCGTTTCCACATGCGCAATGTTCTTTCAAAAGGGTATGCAATTGTTTATAAACAAGGCCGGTTCTTTTCAAAGGTAAATGCCTGAGGAAATATGTAGATTTCTGTGCAATAATGCAAGTTTATATAAAAAATGTCCATTCAAAACATGCATCTTTCTTCAATGGGTGCAATATTCCTCCAGGGCAGTGCTTTATGTACAAAACACATCGGCCAAATATGAAACATGGATTGAACCAATGCAATGTTCAATTCAAAAATGCAGGCAACATTCAGCAGATTTTCTGTTTGTATTTGAAGCATTCCTTTGAAAGATACAGCTGTCAGTTAAAGATGTGCAGTGTCTGAGACACACAGTTTTCATTTGAGAGATACGGTGTTTTTCAAAGAAATAGTACTTGTTCAAAATATCAAGTATTCCCTGCAAAAAAACATGGAATTCCTTTTGACATATAGTATGCTATTCTGTCGACAACTGCAATGCTTAAAAAAGTATTTCTTTGACAAATCCTTTTGAAAGGGTAGCGCTCTTCAAGTTCGGTGTTTTTTTCAAGCAGTGAAATTGCGCTACAAACCATTGCAGTATTCCTGTCAGAAAGTGGTGTGTTTCTGACAATGCAAACTCGTAAACAACCAGCATTCCTTTCAAAAAAGTACAAATAGTTATTGCAGCTGAAAAGTGTTTTTTGCTTTTAAGACTAGTTTTCCGGAAGTCTTGGCTCCCCTGCAGAAGACAAAGAATATCAAACAAATAATACGAAAGGTTTTGCAGGAGTCTTGATTGAGTCTTGGTTTCAACAAGACATTGAATATACCAGAAACATCCAGAAACACGCTGTTCCAGAAATCCTGAGATTGGGGTTCTAGGAGATCAAGACAAAAAACAACATTCCCAAAAGTATCGAGGTTTGCTGAAAAAAGTCAAAACGAAAGCGCGTTCCAAGAAGTCTTGCTATTGGGAGGGGCAGGGGGTGGCCAGCAGAGAGTCTCAGAATATTGTTTTTTTGTTTCAAAGTGTTTCTCCTATTTCGATCGTTGTGGGTGGCCAGGAGAGTTGTCTCAGAATATTGCTTTTCTTCAATGTGGTTTTGGAAGCACACATTCATGAACAAATGTAGTTTGAATGGGTTTTAAGCTGTGATTTAATGTGATTCATATATACAGCCTTTTGATGTTTTTTTTTTTAACGCATGTTGCACGTGAAAAATCAAATTCCGATGCGTGGCCTTTCTAGAGATTTGCAACCGCAATTCCATAAATCATAATCGCATATATTCGCTCTATAACTGACCTGGATCTGTACCCAAAAATTGTACCACGGAAACTGCGCTAGGTCGGACACAAGTCACTTGAGTGCATCAGACAAATTCACGTGATGTGTAGTTTCAATATGTTCAATCCATCTCAGCACGATATTCGCAAAGTTTGGATCGGAGTTGAACAACTCCAAACTATACCACTGTACGCCTGTACTGTACAGTACCCCAAAACCGTACCAACGTATACCTTACCACTCTACCGTACCGCGCCCCAAAACCATACCCCAAAACAGTCTCACTTACTGTATATACCAGAAAAAGGATGTATTTTTTCGTAGGGTCGGGAGTGTACCAATACTAAGCACCCTACCGTACCACTGTACCGTACCGTACCCTAAAACCGTACTCCAAAACCGTACCCCGAAAACCGTACCCCAAAACCGTACCCCAAAACCGTACCCCGAAAACCGTACCCTGAAAAACCGTACCCGAAAACTCCTTATTTGGGTACGGGTACGGGGTACGGTTCTGGGGTACGGTTTTCGGGTACGGTTTTCGGGTTACGGTTTTGGGGTACACTCGCACAGTCCCGACCCTACGAAAGGATACCAACTTATAAAGTTTTGAGGTACGGCTTTGGGATACGGTGTGGTACAGTGGTAAGGTTTTGTGGTATGGTGTGGTACGGTCGTATGGTTTTGGGGTGCGGTTTGGTACAATGGTAGGGTACGGTGGTACGGTTTTGGGGTATAGTCGGGTCGAATTGTTGGGGACAGATATAGCGCAGTTAGCATGGAGCGGCATTGATGCTTAGGATGTTTTTTGAGCATTCAACACCTTTACTATGGTGTAGTTCACAAGACTGGGAATATGCAGGTACCATCAGGTACCCAAACGCAAAATAACACAAAGCCTCGTATGTATTAAGATGTTTCAGACGCAAGGCAAATGCCTGGCGCAGAAATTCACCCAATAAAGCAATAAGGACACGAACGCACACACACACACATACAACTATACATACATACATATATATATATATATATCAATATATATCAATATATATATATATATATATCAATATATGGAATAGCAACACATGAAACGCAAGTGAAGCACATCAAATGCAAAGCGGGGGGCAAATTGAGCAATCTAGGGATTGTGTGAGAACACACATGGATAACAGCTCAGCCAAATGAAGTGTGCAGATGTATGCAGCACAAAAGGGTAGACTGTTAATATTGAGACACACTCTAGATGCAAGGCACTGTATGTTATTTTTTGTTGGACACATATATTAAATACATGATATTAGTATATATTAGCGCATTTCTTCATGCAGGGACGCATGTATGTGATACTGGTGCTATATAGGCATCTAGACTGTACACAAAAAGCATTCAGACTTCAAGTTCATGAGGGGAGATTGCGTCGACAAGCGGACTGAATCGTCTAAGGCTGTGTGTGTGAGGGGTTTTGACACTGTAGTATGTGATGGTAGTGGTAGTGGCCCTGGTGGCTCACCACTTGAAATAAAATATTTTCGATAGGTCACGGGGTCATGATCAAAGATGACTTCTGGATTGGTAAATGTTGGGCCCCATGCCGTTTCCTGTAACTTATGCGGACGCGCACACTACTACTTTTTCTAGTATACAGTATGCCCAAGGTGGAAATCAGTAGCCCTAAACAAATGCCTCTGATCCCTCAAACAAAATGAGTTTATCATGTTTATCTTTGTGTTTTCTTTTGGTTTTCAGAGCTAAAGCAGATTGGATCCGCGACCACAAACGCAAAGGGGCCACATCAGTTGTTTTTTTTGTTTGTGTTTGTTTGTCATTTGTTTTGCATTTCTACTTGAGTTTGCTTGCGCGTTTGTTTGCTTTTTCTTCTTTTGTGTAGTTGTGAATATTACTGACATACAAGATACAAAACTTTTCACAAACCACGACCTGGTTTGTATGGCCCACGGGTGAGCTGCGTCCATGTACGTCTGGCTACAGCAACAAATCCATGTCCTCTATGGGCCCCTGTATGGCCCTTGCTTGCGTGTGAGTGCATTTGCTGCATTTTTCTTGTCGAATCGTGGGTCTGCTTGTGAGTTCGTTGATGTGGTCACTTGTGTGTCATTTAACCAGAAATTGCAATTCCAAACTCCGAATATAATATGTGAAACTAAATACTCGAGAATTTCCAATATGCAAGAGCTACACAACAAATTGCTAATCGCACAGACTGTTTAGAATCCTGGTGCCATGCATGCCGTCCCATGCATGCCACTTGCTGTGCTTTTGATGGCGTGCGTCAGTTTTTGTCATGTTCAATTCGTTTCATTTCATTTGATTTCGTTTAGTGTTCTTTTATTTCCTTTCATGTCATTTATTTGTTTCGCATGCTTCCCAACAATGAATGTAAGAAATCCTGCACCAGCTTGGATGGTGGAAACCCTGTAAATAATGGGATAAAACAGCTATCAACTGGTGCAGGATGTTTTTTTCCATCCATTGCAATCAACTTGATCAAACTTGTAGAGTACTATATTCGGTTTTCAGTGTCATCCATGTTCTCCATTTTCCTGTTGTTGTTCTGGTGTTTTGTTGTTGCCTTGGTAGTTTTATGTTCGATTGGTGCTTGGGGTTAGTTTTTATAGGGTTAGTTTTTATTGGGTTAGTTTTCTGTTTGTGTACGTTGGTGTTGGGTTTGCTTTTTGGTTCTGTTGTTTGTTGATGTTGATTTGCACTAAAGCATGCGGTTTTCTTGTCATTGTTTGTGTGAGTTTCTACACAGGCCTCAAAGGCCATCAGCGTAGCCCATTGAGCAAAACCAGTGAATCTAAATAAGATAAGATACATGATATTCTGGCGAGATGTGCTGTCGTACCCTGAAATCTTCACAACATAAAAATGATTTACAGCGCTTATTTATGTGAGTCTAGTAGTTTCCTCCGCCGGACACAGATTCGGTTTTTAGGGTTTAGAGCAAGAACTACTATTTCAGCAATGACAATAAGGTGTCTATGGTTAATGATCATGTTCAGTTAAAAGTCTACAATCATCAAGTTCTGCCGTGGTATACACCACCTTCTACATCTCAATGATTTCAATAATATATCACCGTATCATATCATACCCCAATGCAGTACCATCATATCGCACTATGTATTAAAAAGCTTATCATAATCATATCTTATCATTATATCGTGCCATGACCCCAAAACCGTACCACTGATCCGTACCACTGCACTGTACCATGACCCCAAAACCGTACCATCGTACCGCACCATGACCTCAAAACCGTACCCTCCAATCGTACCCCGTTCCAAGCATCCAAATTCACACCTACTTTGAAAATTCATAATATATATATATATGTATATTATATAGACATTTGTAAGTACCAACCACATGATATTTGGGTTTGTCTGAACATGGACAATTTGTCCCCAACTTACAGCCATGTCAATGTGGAAAATGATGATCGACCTTACCATTTGCGCTACTGTGTTTTCGTACAAGCCTAAATCTGTTGGAAAGGGGATCCGGATGCCGAAACAACATGGACGTGGACTTTTCAGAAGCACAAAATCAATTTGAAGATTTGCAAGTTTCAGGTCCAAAAAAAGATCGTTTCTTTCATTTTCTTGACAAAGGCCCTTTGGCCCCCCCAAAAGTCGTCAACCAGAGCTATCTAATTTTGTTGCATGGAGCGTTTTTCCGCTGCCCGAGGAACATCCACATGATTGATGCCACAGCGGCCAAAATCACTTCCATGCATTTTCATGGCTGGCAACGGGGGCTCAAGACGGGCATGCCACTTGCCGCACAAAAAACTTCGGCATGAGAATTGTTTGGCAGGTGGACCACTTACTGAGCTGTAATGTTCCTGTAGAGAAACGATTTGCCGATCCCTCCGTTGCTGGCATGTGGCTATAGGCTGAGCATGAAATCCAAACAATCCAATGATTCCTGTGACTTTTGTACCTTCTTCGATCAGTTTTTGGCAACGTCTTGCAACTGTTGCTGGTATCACATAGCTACACGCACACACACACACAATCTTTTCTCTTGGGACATAGCTTGATGTCAACTTAGGGCTTGCATGGCCCATGTCCTAGCCTTCTCCTAGCCGCGCTCTCAGGTATTACTTGAGGACCAAGGCGGCCGCTGATGCCATCAAGTTCACAGTGGAGGTAGCTGCTGGGCACCCCTGAGCCCTCCCTTTCTTCCCCATGTTTTTTTCATGGTGACGCCTACCATGCCATTGCGCCAAACACAAGTTGGGGGTCAATCCCTCCACCTTGCACTGGCGAGGTGAAACAGTTGAAGCCCGAGGAGAATGCGATCAAGGTCTTTGGGGCCCAGATCGGCGTCTGGGGAGATATCATCCACAACATATTCGAACATCGTCCTCTAAATAGCACCAAAAGGACTAACATTTTCGGGTAAAGCACCATTTTTATGGGTACAAATGGATGGTCAAACGGTACTTCAATGGGTTGCGCGAGTCAAAAACCGTCCCAAATTGAGCTGAGCCTTGGGTTTGGTCGGTTTGGTATTTCCTCCAGCTTTCTAGTGAGATTTGAGGGATCTGCCACACCTCTTTTCAGCCACATTTGTAGATCTCAAAAAAAAATGGCTCTGTAAGATGGACTGTTCCCATCCATTTTCATTTCACCACGATGTCTGAAGCATCTTTGGGATGGCTTCATGCATCGGCAGGCCTTGAAATCTGAAGCGCCCAAGTATTCCTGCGTGGGGTGCAGTGCTTGATGCACTGCCGTGGCGCCAAGGGCTACTGGACTTGGCTGGGCCTGGTGTGGCAGATTGCCGGATTTTCCAACCAGCCCCTGGCCTGATTTCATGGCTGAACTCTGAAGGATTTCCGGTTTTGAGATCTAAAGAGATCGAGCCTGGGCTCCTGGTTACTTGGGGTGGCAAGATGCTGTCAGCATCATTTTGTTGGGGCCCGACTGTGGGGTGCAGCCAGCACAAAACACTGGCAAACATTTCAGCCAGTGACTGTGCGGCGAAACCTGGGGATTAGGCAAATGCTTCGATGAGAAAAGAAGTGCACAATGTACCACTGAGAAGATTTCTAGAATTGGCAAACTGTTTGCGATTGAGTTCTTATTTGGGTTACAACATGTTACAACTCCTTGTGTTTGGTATAGCTTGAAACGCGCACGGAGATCTTGTTTCTGGTATTGTTCCAGCAGACTCATGAAGAGGGTGTGATGTCGCGATATTTCGCCGGACCTTTGGACGCCAGAACATCCAAAGCACATGAAAAACACCATTGCAGAAAGCGGATGTGCAGCTCAGCTTTGACCCTCAACAGCCACAGAATCCATTTCTTGTGTCACTTCACCTAGTGTTTCACCATGTTTCACACATCGAATCTTGCCACCTAAAGTGGGCTCCAATCCAAACAGCAGGATATCTTAGATCTTTGCAGCCGACAGTTCAGCCAGACCTGTTGGACAGCCATGGGATTTCTGAGATCGCTTGGTGTCGCCTGATCCCGGCGCCTGGGCCGGGTAGGCCTCTGGGGGATGAGAGCCGCAAGGGTTTTTGGGATGGCTTCACATCAGAAAGCGGAGATCTATATATAGTGGTGACGTATATTTGAATGGGAACACTGAATCATATATACTGTATATATATATATTATAATATATAAAGTTGATATTCAGTGGTCTATAGTTTCAAGACTAAAGATGACTAAAGTACAATTTTCTTTCAAGCACAGAACCCCACGGGACCGTCTGATGTCTTGCGTTTCACGCGCTCAGGTGCGTTTGCTGTGTACCAGTTCCCTCACATGCACCAAGCAAAGTGCGCACAGAAGTGCAAGGGTTGGGAATGGGAAAAAATGGTAAAAGGGGGAAACTAGGACAAGAGAGGTTGGAGGTTGGTTGGGAGGTTGTTATGTTTTTGTTCAATATTGTAAATCGACTGTTTCTTTTTGATTATCTTGCTAAATGTTTTGTTGAGGCTGTTGTGATAATGTTTGGTTTGGATGAGGGTAGGTTTTGTTGAGGGTGTTTTGGCTGTTATGGTTTTTAGGTTTATGTTCAATGTTTGTTCCTTACCAATGGGGGTTTATACTGGGGTACCCTTTAAATGGAGGGTTTATACTGGAAAATCCCAAACAAAAATGGATGATGTCCAGCTCTTCCCCCATGACTTAGGGTCCTCATCTTGCGATGATGTCCAGCTCTGGTGATTTTTGGCTGGTGATCCATCCTGGTTTGTGCCACCTGATTCTGCTCCCTCACACTGGCATGCTCCCAGCTATTTTCGGTGAACCAATTTCACAACCGGGCGGAAATGGGTGATTTCATTTTATATGGTATACATCCTGAACCAATACCCCCCTGTAAAACTTGTCAGAATTCCACGCGAGCCGCGTTCGAAACTGCCGTGCGCAAGCTTTTCACAAGCTTCGCGCAAGCTTCTGTTCGCACAAGCTTCGCGCAATCTCAAAACTATCTAGCACATGAACCAATTGAACACCAAGTCCAAACCTGCTTCACTCTCAAGACAAACCAGCACCAAATCTCGGCAAAACCCGTTTGCGCAAGCTCGCGCAAGCTCGCGCAAGCTCGCTCCAGGTATGGTCACCATTGCTGAGGCCGAGGTGGGAATGTTGCCTTTTTTCGCCGTGAAAATCATCCCGGGGTCGGCTATTTTAAGCCAGGTTCAAGCTCTTTCGTTTCCAAAGATATTTCTGAATGGTGATCTGCAAGACATGGTCCGTTACGGATGTATTTTCTGATAGGATCATATATATATATATATATATTTATGTATATATATATATGTATAATTATACGTATATAGTTAATGTTAGCTACTGATTAGTGTGAGGGCCCCCTCCTCAAACTAATTGGGTATACTGAAAAAACTCGCAAATTTTTGCGCCCCCCCGCAACAATTTTTGAGATAGTCAACTTAAGAAAGGATTTCAATTGAAATCGATTGATTTCCAATTGATTTCAATTTACTTTCAATTGATCACCCCCAAAAGTTGTTGGGCACAATAGAGTACCATCCAAACAATTATATTATTGAGTATCTGAGCCACTCATGAGGTACATCCTTGAAAAAATTGTTTGGATGCTGTTTTTAAATAAGGGTTTAATAAGGCATCTAATTATTTGAAAAAAAGGAGAAAATTGGATCTGAGAAAAAATATTTTAAAACAGGAAAACTGGAAAAAAAACCTGAAAACAAAACTCAAAAAGTCTTGAACCAAATAAACAAATGAAAAAAAATGGTGAACAAAAAAAAAAACAAAAAAATGGGAAAACAATCCGAAAAAAAACAACTTGCCACAATAGAGGTTCCCCCCCAACATCATGGCACTGAATTGCAAAAACTTGCCACAATAGGGTACCATCACACTAATTGGGTGCTAACATTAATTATGATTAATTTTATATCCCACTATCCCAATCTATCCCAGTCATTCCGCTTGGTCACGTCAGGCAGCTGACCTGCCAAGCTATGAGGACCTGGGCCAAGCCACTGACCTCAGCGCTGTGGAGGTGTGTGTTTTGGAACAGGGGATGAAAAGCAGATTTTGGGCGATGATTTTGGGATGATTTGAGCTGTTTTTTCAGATTTTGGGATGACTTTAGCTGATTTTTAGATGATTCTAGATTTTTTTTAATTTTGAAGAGCCATCAGAATTGAATGATTGCCATTTCCACCCAAATTGGATCCTTTTCAGCGTTGGCCAAACTTAGGTGTATAGGCTGTATAAGGTTAATTTGGACGCATACCGAAGTGACAAACACGTGTTACTTGGTAGTGGCAAGGGTTTTCACCTGCCATCGAAAATCCAATAATGTCCCACACAACCTGCTCGCAGGCAGGTATAGCTGCGGCAGAGGCGCCGTCTTGGCCATTTCCCATACGGGTGTTGACACTTTCGAAAAGCACCGATGGTGACTTCAATCGCTCAACAGATGCATTTCGCATCATTTCACCAAGCATAATTTTACTGTTGCTTAGTAGGGAATGGGGGAAAAATAAGAAAATAAGAATTATTATACATTCCAATGGTAATTTTACATCCCATTCCCATGATCTTTATCATCCCAGCAACCCCCATTCCCATGCATTCCCTACGAACTACCGCAGGCATCTGCGGTACCAAACTCCGTGGCGGAAGAGGACACTGCGGACAATAACGGGACAACGACAACAAAAAAGGGACAATGAAACATTGACGGTTCATCACTGGGATGAAACTTGGGATATTAATTTTTGAACCCTTCTTTATATGGAGGGCATCATGTGGAAGATGGAGATTTTACCAAGAATCCGAGGGATGTCAATGATGTCACCATCCTCAACTGAGATGAGGACTGGGAAGAGGAGGATGAAGAGGAGGACACCGTGATTTTTGGCAAAACCTGGGCAGTTTTTTCCAAAAATTCTGACCTGGGGGGCCTGGGGCAAATCCATGTTGGACCTCCTGCCCGCGGAGGTGGCCCTCACCGGAAAGACCCATGTCCATCTCAACAAATGGGAGGCTTTTCTCCCTCATCACATTCTGGGGGTGGGTTCAACCGACCAATGAATTACCCTCTGGTAATTTAACATAACTATGGAAAATCACCATTTTTCATGGGAAAACTCACTATAAATGGTGATTTTCCATAGTTATGTTAAATTACCAGAGGGTATTGTGAATTAATTGTTGGAGATCGCCTCGTATTTGCAGATGTCCCCAACCACTTCATGGGAGATTGAATCACCCCCCTTGATACCCATTTTTTTCTTCCATGAATTGTTTTCCCATAGTACATCCATAGTACACCCATAAAGCATCCCTAGGATAGGAAGCACCACTTCCCATTATATGCCCAGATCATACCGCAACATATCCCTATACATATATGTTGAAACGTCCTCGTTTTTTAAGACGAACAAGTTTTAACAAATCTTTTTTGGTAGCATTTGGCTTCAGCTTGTAGTACCCATGCGGGTGGGGAGTCTTGGGGCTCCCGTTCCGTGTGGTTGCAACTTTTGCCTGGCGATTGGGAGGCTCCTACCGTTGGGTCACGCACCTGACCTGTTGGGACCTCCCGTGGCATACGTAACCGACCGGTTGCGTGTGCTGCACCACGAGCTTTTGGACATCAGAGCGCAGCGGGCCTGTGGGGTCCCCATTCTTTCTCAAGGGCCTACTCCTGTGGCAGCAGGACTGGGTCAACCCGCACCTGAGGCGCCGACTGCCTCAGGAGGAGGGAGCGCAAGAGCTCCCGAGGTCCCTTCGCCTTCAGTGGCAGCTGAGGTGAAGGAGGAGGAGATCACCGGAAAGGACATTGAGGAGAACCAGGAGACCGCCGTTGAAGAGAAGCAAGAGCCCAGTCGAAACCCCCAGGGAGGAGGACGAGAGATTCCCACTCCCGCTGCTGCTAAGGAAGAGGGAGACAACACAACTCCCGAGGGGGCCGGCCCAGTTACCCATTGGCCAACTTCCACCCCAAAGGAAGTGCCTGTGGCCACCTCTAAAGCAGCAGGCCTACCTTCCGCCTCGATACCTCCGCCGCCACCAGTAAATCCACCAGTTGAGTTTGTGCCCGTTAAAGCCGCCCCCAAACGACCTCCTGACACTTTGGCACCACCTCCTCCAAAGTCTGAACCGCCTCAACCCACTCCAGACAAAGGAAGTATTCTGAGCTCAGACGAATACACCTGCGAAGAGGAGGAGGAGGAAGCAGTTGAGACTGATCCCATCGTCGAGCAGGCGGAGA